GTATCGGTTTTTGTACTCAGTATCGGCAAGTACTCAGATCCAAGTATCGGTTTGAAAAAATTGGTTTCTTTGCATCCCTACTAGGTACCTTCATCTTCACTACAAATTCTGGTATTATTTCCGAGTGGTTATAATATAACTAGCACCCTTTAACGCACTTAGCAATTCAATTAACATAAAAAATTATCTATATCACCTTTAAGCTACCAGAGATCAAAGTGGCAAAGTCAGTTATACATTTAGGCCAACAATACATAATCTTGGACCCCACTGGCTATCATCTGCTTAAAGAGATTCCCAGCCACATAAGCAAATATATACATGTTGGGTTTTTTTTAAAGCGATCTGAAAGCCACCATAACTGATATTTATGCTTAAAAGAATAACTACCCAACAAGTGATACATTTCCTATCACCTAATCCACTGATCAGGTAGCTCCAGTCTTGCACAGCACTTTCCACTATGCATCATTGCTCTTGCTGGCAGCAAACCTTGCTGTCTGCCTCGATGCTGTGGCAGCTGGTGCCAGGCGTCGGGTGTGTTGAGGTAAGCAGCCTGTGACACCATTTGTGGCCCCGCCCACTTGGGACGCACAGAGCAGACACGGCGAGCCAGTCCCACAGGTAGACACACCTGAAAGCCGGCTGAGCAACAGGTTGGAGGCGTTTACACACTTCTAGTGCACGTTAGACACCTTTTGTTTCTTACTGGCACAAGTCTGGCATACCTGAAGATTTTCCTCTAATATGACTTCCAAACGGAAGGATGATCCCAGAGTAGATTTTAATCAACTAGACTAAAGGCAGTGGATGTCCTGTAAAATATATCAATCAATGCTGCTGAGCAACAGATACAGAATGGGCCATTAACACATGGAGTGTTACGGGAAATAATGAAGGCTAGACACACCTTTTGAGTTACGCATAGCTCACATCATTAAGGAGATAAAGACAGAGGACTATAAAATGTGTCACTATGGAAACATTACATGAACACAAAAGTGATATAATCTGAAAATATGTCAGGTTCAGGAGAATTAAGGTCAATATAATGTGAGTCTGCGATATCAGCTGATAATAACTAAATATATGGATGTGATAAGAGGCAGAAACATTGTGTCATCATAAAGTGTGCCTGGATTACAAGCAGCACACTAAGTCACAGTAAATCTGGATTATTTAGAAGTCTTAAATTGTAAATACACAAGAGAGTTAAATAAACTCGTTTATACAGCAGCAGAGTCACACTGTAATTCATTGCATGTATAGATCCGACGGTACGTAAACCACAGAGTCACACTTCAGCTTGGGTTGGTAAAACAAAGTCACAACACAAGCCATCGTGACACATTACAGGACACTGTAAAGTACATATGAAGCAACAAAGCCAACACATAAGCCACTACAGAAACACTATTTTCACACTTTTACAGCTGTAACCACTTTAAACATACAGTAAACTCAATAATGAGGTAATATCGATAAATATTAGTTCACTTTAAAAAATGCGAACACCATGAAATAAAACTCGTTTTAGGGAACCGGAGAGACATCATGGGTACAACTTAAATTGTATAAACACTACAAATTCACTAGTTCAGAAAGCCACCTTATAAATCATCATACACACATTATAGGTTGCATTAAGAGGCAAGGGCACTGTGAACTATGTGTATGCAAGTATCACAGTTACCACTGAAGACACAAAAACACCCTAAAAAGTTACTGTAAGCTTATTTTGTAGAAGCCGAGCCACCTTATAAACCTTTCTATGAAGATTACAGTTTCAAGTCGACTTGGAGAAGTTAAGTCACATTATTAAGCAATTATTTGAGTAAAACACTCAACTTTAAAGTGATTTAAAAAGCACAAAATAAAAAGAAACTCAATTGATGGCCCCAGAGTTCCATTATGAGTACACTTTAAACGATATAAAATACCACAACCTCACAATTTCAATAAGCTAAATAACTTTATGGGTCATTAAATCCACACTATAGGTCACATCAAGAGAACAGGCCCTGTAAACTAAACTTTGAGCACCAAAGTTATGATATAAGCTGGTACAGAGGTATTGGAATTACACTTATTAGAGATGTAAACACCCAAAGGTTGATAGAGCAAGGTTTTGAGCAACTTTGTAAATATAATACTCAAACTTAAGGGATTTAGACACCATAAAATAAAAGCCAGCTCAATTTAAGGAAGCAAAGCTACATTTTACACAAGTGTATCTTCATTTCACAGCGCAGAGCCACAATCTGGGGAAGCTACATCACTTTATGAGTCAGCACATGCACATCAAAGGTCGAATAAACAGGTATAAATACACAATTAGACACTATGTGAGATTTTGACCATAAACTCATTTTCCACAGCTAGAGAAGATCTGACGAGTCACTTTTCCCTGATGTTTTTTTTAACTGAATGTGGAGACCTATGTCTGTTTATTTGAATACACAGTGCTGTATGTTAGTATGTTCCTAATGGCTCATATACACAACAGGTAATCACTCTTACAAAGAAAAGAAACATGCAGCAGCAGTTGCACAATCTCCCCTCCACTTCTCATGAAGACCCGCTTCAGTTTTCTCATGAGGACGATTGAAAACCCAGAGAAGAGCAGCAGCAGCACGTCCACCTTTCTCCTTACCTGCATACCAGGAACTTCCATGGTTACTTCGAAGTATGAACGCCCTGTTCCTCCTCCAGGTTTGTCACTTTTTATTCTCCTCTTTCTTTGACTACTGCCTTCTTCTATATATTTTTTTTAATCCTCGTCGAGCTTCTTCACAATAAAATAAACCTCTCGAAAGAAAAATAAGTAAAGAGGTTTGACTTCGAAGTGGAGGAACTGTATCCGAGAGGAACGGCGGTTTAACTTGCAGGCGGCTGAAGTGAACAAACTACAAACACACAGTGACAAAGTGAGCACAGAAGAAGAAGAAGTGGACGGAGAGGATGACGCGCAGGTTTCTGCCTCCTTCAAGGGAGGAGCGACGGTGTGTGAATGTCAGCTTCGCACGCACTTCTACTGCCACCTGCTGTTCATAACTGTTCCTATCTGTGGTTCATGCTGCCTTCAGGTGCAAGTCCAAATCTGCTTCGAATCAACAGCTGCCTACACTTACCGGCCACTTCATTAGATACATCGGTTCAGGTCAATTCAATTTTATTTATATAGCGCCAATTTATAACAGGAGGCACCTCGAGGGCTTTATACTGAAGGGTTTAAAAGGAATTTCCAACTATCAGATGACCCACTATGTGCAGACGCTTGGAAACAGTGGGAAGGAAAAACTTTGAACAGGAAGAAACCTCCAACAGTGCCAGACTCAGGGAGGGGCGGCCATGTGACACAGCTGGTTAAGGGTTAAGGGAAGGACAAAGGCATAGTGTGGAAGAGAGCCAGAGATTAATAACAACTAATATTTAAATACACAGTGTGTAAAAAAAGGCGACTGAAGAAGAAACTAGAAAAAAAATGTGTGTATGTGTTAGTCCCCGTAGGGAAATTACTCCTCTGCGTTTAACCCATTCACCCAGTGAAGCAGTGGGCAGCCACCAATGCAGTGCCCGGGGAGCAGCATTGGTGGTATCTAACCACCAATGCTGGTATTTAGGTGGTTTCTAGATACCTAACTAGAAACCTAGATCTAATGCAGAGTAACTAAGGGAGGATTCAGGGTCACCTGATCCAACACTAACTATATGGGTTATTAAAATCCTTTTATACTATATAAAACTATGTAGTATTTATTAAAATACTGTAATAATCCCTAAGGACAAATATGTAACAGGAATGCCCAACATGGGGCTCCAATCCACAACTCTGAGATTAAGAGGCTCATGCTCTTCCAACTGAGCTGGCCAGGCTTGGAAAGTTTGAAGCCTAATCTTGAAAGTAGAGATAGTGTCTGTCTCCTGAATCCAAACTGGAAGCTGGTTCCACAGTAAAGGGGCCTGAAAACTGAAGGCTCTCCCTCCCATTCTACTTTTAAATACTCTAGGAACAACAAGTAAGGTTGCAGGCTGAGAGTTCAGTGTTCTAATGGGGTGATATGGATTAGGATAAGATGGGGCCTGATTATTCAGACCTTGTATGTGAGGAGCAGGATTTTGAATTCAATTCTGGATTTAACAGGAAGCCAACAATGGGAAGCCAGTATGGGAGAAATATGCTCTCTCTTTCTAGTCCCTGTCAGTACTCTTGCTGCTTTTAGTTTTTAGGACAACCTGATAATACTGAATTGTAGTAGTGCAGCCTAGAAGTAATAAATGCATGAACTAGATTTTCAGCATCATTCTAAGTGGGCGTCTAAATTCATAGCCTGCATCCTCCTGAGGCTGCATTTGTAGGTCGATTACGTCACAGCGATGCGTCGACGGCTGTCCCAATTCGTAGACTCCTCCAAATGCAGCCGACAAACGCATCCTCCGTTTCCCCAGATTTGAAGGATGGGTCGGGTGTATCCTTCATGGCCCACCATATCCCAGAATTCATGGCGCGGCCCAGCCAATTCCACTTTCCAACAATGGCGGAAGCTACTTAGTTTTAATATTACTCTTATTACTCTTTCTGGGTGACAAAATAAACTTTTAACATATTTTCAGGCGAGAATGTAGCTGTGTAAACTTCAAATATCTGCTCGATTTATTAAGACATCACTATTTGCAAAAGTGCTCTGACTTTTTTCGGAGACGTCTGCTACCCACCAGCTTGATAGCTAGCCGGGGAATCAAGGCTCACTAGAGCCGCGGGAACAGCGAACTCCCGGCACATCGTTTTCAGTCCCCCGTGGTCTTTCGCTACTCAGGTTAAACATAATATAATATAATATATTCACTTAGATAACCTAAAAATGTTATTGTTTGGCTTTTTCGGTGTTTTATTTGTTTGTGAGTAAATTGGTTTGGCTGAGATTACAGCTGAATAAATGTCAAATGGAAAACTGATTAGACAGAAGTGTGACATGATTGAGAATTTACACCAATATCCTGTTATATTTTAGATAGCAAGGGAGCACACGGCTGAGTTTATTAAACTCCACTGAAACAGCTGGTGATGCAAATCTGAAGACTAGACGGTCCAATTTCACAGCCACTCACTTCCAGCCTTCGAAGGACCTGGTCCACATAGACTGTGAAGGCCGGGTCCTCAGGAGGATGCAGCCTATGAACTTGGACACGGCTAAAGACAGGATGTTTCTAATTTTAGAGAAACTGTCCAAATGCAAGAAAGCATTTTATTGAAATATAAGAAATATATTGGTTTAGCATGCTTAAAAATCCCTTACTGTGTTACTGGAGGCCAAGGTAATGCCATCCAGATTAAGTGTCTAGTTAGAGACAATGTTTCTAAGATTGTAACTGATTGCTAAAGACAAAATCTATTCAGCCAATCACATGGGAGCAACCCGACAGAATTGGGCAACTGTGCTCAACGTGACCCACTGAAGTTCAAGTCAAATCAGAAGAGCGTCTCTGGCTGACTTCAAACCTGGCAGCAGCAGAAGACCTCACCGGTCTTTTATGCTGCTCCTTTCAGCAAAGAAAAGGAACTTGAGGCTATAATTTACATGAGTTCATCAAAACTGGACCATAGAAGGTTGGACAAATATTGCCTGGTGTTTTTGCATGTCAGTGTCTGCTGAAACATTCCAATGGTATGGTCACAGTTTGACATAAACAAGATGAAAACATGTATCCACTCTTGGCACCCCACTATACCAGCTGAGTACCACAGCCTACCATAGTATTACTGTTCACCATGTCCATTCCATGGTGACCACAGCTTACCCCCGTCTACTAGATTGACTGGCAGCTCTGTGATCTGAAAAACAAATCTGCTTAAGGGTATCAATAAAGAAGAAACAGATCAGATCAGAGGTGAAGATTTATTTGTTGAGTCAAATATTCTTTAATCTCTTTTGAAGAAAAAAAGATGAACTGGCCCTTTAAACATGAATCTCCTTTTCTCGACGGTCCTGGAAGGCAGCTTCAAGTTTCCATCTGACGTCACCCGGAAGCGGGGGACGGGGGGTGGAGCCCGGGAGAAGATGGCGGTTTTTCGCTGTAGGCGAGATCCCTGCGGCGTTATCTGCCTGATTTTAACTTATTTCAGCGTGTTTTATGCGGACTATGTGGTCATACAGTACGTACTCATCCCCGCGTAC